GATAAAGAGTAAGCATAGCTGAGTTCTTCCTTGTGGTGATCACTGAGATGTTCAAGCAGTCAAGTGCAGTTTCTCTGCTAGAGGAAATAGAAAGTTAAGAGCAGAGATGGGAGGAACCTCACATTCCATCCCTGGGCTTCTGCAGTGAGACACAGAGTGCTCCTAGAATAATTAGATGACTCAGATAACTACTGGATTTCTTAATTTTGTTTAGAAATACTTGATTGACTTTTCATTTAGGAAGACTACAACATCTTGCTGCTCAATTTCCAAGACCTTTACAGATTTTCTTTCCTCTTGAAACACAACAAGATCAAATTTCTGCATTTCTAAAACTCTCAAGATACCAGTCTCCGGCTAAAAAGATGTTGTAGAAGGTAAGTCTTGTCAGTAGTTTCATAAGGAATGTGAATATTTCTTAAAGACATCCACAATGTAACCAAAGGTTCTCTTGATTCTGGGTGTAGGGAGGAGAGTTAGTATCAGCTGCGTTTAGATTCTCTGCAATAAATTGATTCTGACCCTTCACTTAGGGAAGTAGTAGACACGGTTGTTCCTCCACAATTAGTCTAAGAAATATAATGAGATATTTGAAGATTATGAAGTACATGATGTGGGCATCAATTGGCTAAAATTGATAAATGGAAGGTAAATGTGTTTCTCACTGGAGAATTTATGCAAGTTATAATAGAGTAATACCAAATAGAAATTCCACTCATTAGAAAAATTTGCAATGAAAGCTACTGTATTTTCTTAAGTGTTAAAACTTCTGCATTTTGTGGTATATGATAAGACTTTATATTTTTAGTGTAATAAATTTATCTTAAGGCTAACTTAATGTTGTAAAGTAGACTAACTTTTACTTAGCTGCCTTTTGCATAGCAATTATTTTTCTAAATAATATTATTGAGAAACAAATAGAATTCAGACAGTTTAAAAACTGATTAATAGCAGTTTCAATAATTAATACATTGCATATTTCTGTCTTAGTGGTTATTCATTGTACAATACAGAAATGATATCCTGTTCACAATCACTATTAGAACAAACTTCTTTATTCATTGAATTAAGAGAAATGTACCTGTATATCTATCTTATTTTGAATATAGAGATACAAAATGGTCCTTTATTTTTATCCCACTTTTTTGTTTAGTTTTTTCAGAGAAGAGTATTCCATTGTCATTTTAACATTGTAGGGGCATGAATGCAGCAAAATATTCCAATACAGTCCAGTAGTCCATAATAGTAGTGGGTTTTACATGAGACTGGCAATATCAGAAGTTGTTGACTTGAGCTTTTACAGATCAGCATATTAATATGGCTTTACTTTTTATACTACGATTCCATACTTTTCTGCTGGATGGTTAAGACCAAGATAAATCAAGACCTCTGTAACAAGAAATGTAACTTTAGTATTGGATAAGGTCAGAAATATCCTGTCAGGATTTTACCTGAAACCCTGTACCACAGTTTGCAGATCCTTTGTGAGTGTCAGCCATGTGGACGAGTCATGGCCATTGCTTGACCAATTTCCTCTCTGTGAAAAACTGAGAGAATGTTTTCTCTCCATGTAACTTTCCTTACACACACTCTACATCATTGATCATTTTCCTCTGTGGACTCATAATCCTTTGATCAGAAAATTTGGGACACAACTGAGTTACATGATGTTGCTGTACAGGTTCTCCTATGTCCTGAGTCTTCTCTGACCTCGAAATGCTAGGGCCAAAATGCTGGCTATCTTTGTAGCCCTTCTTTTTCTCTAATTTTTGATCTGCAAACTTAGGTTGTCAACTCTCCAGAACAGAAGCTTATTATTACCCTACAACATAGGTAGTTGAGTTTAACCTCACTGTCTCTCTGAATATCAAACATCTTAGGCATAACATGGAACAGGTATTTTCCATCAAGTGCTGAAATGTCAAACTTTAAGTCCCTCCAGAATATGAAGATAAATATTTTAAAAAATAAAAAGATATTTTTGAAAATGTGAATAAACAGTTACATATTTTTACACAAAAATTTAAAAATTTAACCATATACACCATGGTAGCAGGACAGTCCTATGACATTTATTTTCTTTTGTCTCTTCTTTTTATTTCTTACCCTTTTTAAAACAAACATTTACTTAAGAGACAGTATGGTGGTAATTGGTATGTCATAACAAGCAGTACATATTTAGAATACCAGAATGACCGGAATTCCAAACATGACCCTACCAACAACGCACTGCTTTCATCATTGCCATTGTTTAGTTCAAAGGTATCAGCATATATAGTTAATCAGGGTGAAAATCCTACTAATTAACTGCTAGTTTCAAAAATATGTTGGAGATTCTCAAGATCATTGCCTTACCCATCTGTGCCTACAAGTGTAGGCTTTGCCCCTGTCATGTTTCCTATCTTTTCTCCTTGCCCTCTCTTCATTGTCTAACCTTCAAGTTCTTGCTTTCTTTTAATTGTGTTATACCTTTTCCTTTTTTTTTTCTTCTTTTGAGTTCTCATACTAGGGAGACTACACAATATTTACACATGTGGGTCTGGTTTATTTCACTTATGAGTATATCTTCAAGTGGCATCCACTTAAATACAAAGGCTTCAAGTTTATCATTCTTTATAGCTGAGTAGTACTCCATTGTATAAAAATACCACATTTTAAAAAAAATTATCACATTTTTTCCTCCATTCCTCAGGTGACAGGCTTGTTGCTTGTTGCCAAGATTTGGATATCACAAATTTTGCTGCTATAACTACTTGCAGTTGTAGGACTTTTGTATTTTCTCTTTTTATTTTAGGTTAAACTTATACCTGTGTATTATATTTTAAGAATGAGTCATTCATGCAGTGGTCCTAGTCTGTTTCCTTTCATGCTCTACCTTATTGATATTTCCTGTTATTCTTCTTTCATCAGATCCTATTTTTAAGATATTATTACCCATAGTCAAGTGTGTTTCCATTTGAATTAAGTTTGTTCCATAGATTTGCTTGGTTTCTTTTTTGCAATATTAAGTCCAATCAATCTTTCTGTCTTTTTTTCTTACTAAACTGTCAAGGTCTTTTTTTATCAGATAGTAGATTTTTTTATGCTTTTGTATTTAAATATTATAATTTCATATTTCAAAATTTCTGATTCAGTTTTTTTTCAGCAAAAGAGGATGAGAGCAACTCTTCAACACATGTAGGGCTAGGCATATTTTGATACTCGGAATCTCAGTGTTGCTGAAGGCTACTTGGTATATATGTTTAGTGTATATGTTCTAACTAATGTACTACTTGTAACACCAATTGGATATACATCACTCTGACACAATCAGCACTAATAATACTGCAAAAATAAAATATATGAGTATTCTCATTTAACTGATATGAACCTACATAATTTATATCTTTCTATCATCTCACATCTGGTTAAATTTCACAGTTATGTGATTACAGTCATCTATCCATTATTTCCATTTTTGAAAGATTTTGGTTTTGGAATGGATACTGGATTTTTGTCCAGTATTGGCTAAAATTATTCTTCTTGCAACTGCCTGTTTTGTGATTGAAAATTAGTTTCAGTATTAGTTTTGAATCACTGTGGTAATCCAAACATTATTTCTCATGGCTTATACATTAATAGTTTTGCATGTAATAATCTTGAATTTCGCTCACTACAATGGACCTTTGTGTGAAGTTTCCCTTCACTCTATGGATTTTCAAGCTGAGGATTTGCTTGTTTTCTTAAGAAGAAACCCTTTCTTTAGAAGTGGTACAGTAAATAAAAGTATGTAAGGAAATTTTGACAAAAAGAAAGAAGCAGTAAATACCCTCAGAAATTTCAAAATTTTGATTACACAAAAGATACACAAACACATGATTTCTAAACTAAAAGCATTTGTACTTTACATGAAAATTGAAATCCATATCATGCACTGTGTGTCATCCAAAAAATGCAAAGGTGTTAAACAGGTACAGTGGCATAATACTCAGTCCATTCATGTGCTCTGGAAGACTCCAAAAGACTAACCCTCAGTTGAGTCTTAGTGGCTAAATGGGAGAAAATAAGGAAGGAAATGCTATAATATTTGTACAGGAACAAAAATTTGAACTGCAATAACATAAAATATGAGAAAGAATGTATTTTGCATGTTTCTAAAGAATCAGATGCAATGAGTAAAAAAATTAGAAAGTAAAGAAATGCAAATAATTTTAAGCAGACATGCAGTACTATATTGAGGAAGAATGAGTTTTTGTTGTTTTTCTTTTTATAGAAAATGGGAGAATTGTTGAAGCATATCAGCAAGGTTGATTTACAGCTTCTAGATGGAAAATTGACATTTTTTTTAAAGTGGTATACTGAAACATATGAAGCAACAGTTTGTGTAATTCCAGTCAATAAATGTTTGGATCCTGCCCTGGATCCCATGCAATATCCAATTTGTGACAGTGATAGGGAACAGAGGACATGGTACAACACCACTGGAGACACAACACTAATGAGAATTAATTAATGAAGTGGTCAAGAGAAATAGTTAAGGGAATAGAGAGCAGCCAGAAGATATATGCCAAGAATAGGTGCCAGCCAGAAAGGCAATATAGAAAGAGGAGCTGGGGACTTTGACCCTGCATGGCCTATACTCTAAGCACTTAAAGAACTGCTTATCTCCAGACTTTCTTTCTGCGGGTCACTCCTGACACACCTGATCATTAATCAAGAGAAAGTTCTTAGGAATATGTAGTGGAACACCGCTTCCTCCATTTATTATAATGAAACACCTGGTAACTTGGGCCCATTTGTTTCACACACCCTTGTGACTGTTGACCACATAATGGCAGGAATCATGTACATAGGCCTATCTCATTTATGAAATTGCCTGTCTACAAATATCATGAAGCATTGTATGTCTATTTTCTATTGCAGGTTCACCTATCATTTGAAATATGGTAGATATGTTCAAAGAAATTGTTCTTTGGCAAGGCTTATATCTTATCAGTGATGAAAATTTTGAAATTATAAAGTGCTTATTGCGCCAAGAGTTAGCATTGCAACGAAACTCATATGAAAAATATGACAGAATTCAATTTGCTGACTTGATGGCAAAAAAGTTCAAAATTGATGCAGGAATTGGAAAACTGATAGAAATATTCAAAGCGATACCAGAGCTAGAAGACTGTGCTGCTCTTCTCAGAAAAGAGAAGTCAAAAGGTAATAGTGTTCATCCTTCCTCACACAGACTAGAACCCCAACTTGGTCATAGCATCATTTCCTCTGCATGTCCCTCAGTATCTGAAGCAATTTCATAGCTCAGGTGCAGACAAGTTGACAACCGAGGCAACACTTCTGTACAAAGTTCTCATATTTGAGTTACAGGATTTGGATTAGGCCACAAAGGAAATTAAAAAAATAAAACAGATTGAATTCTTGACCCTTCTAAGGCTTCTGGCGTATTGTAAAAACTAGAAGAGTTCAGATTAAATGTTGAAGATTTATGCATTTTAAATAGATGAATTTTATTTCAAATTTGCTAAGGCATTCTATTGATGGTGACCTATTCATAATATCAATAAAACTTTTGATGCTTAAAAGGAGAATATAGGATACAAGACTAATTGTCCCTGTGAAAAGAAAGAAACCATTGAGGCTGTTCTTGTGCCTCTAATGACACAGAGGCTGTCTCATAATGAGGCAAAGAATTAGAAGTACAGGAGCTGACATACATACACAGACAGAGAGACTAAATTTATTGACACCAGTATGATCTTGCCCTCATTTTATTGCATTTTCTTTTATATCATTAGTTCAAAGAAAATACAGAGAAAAGGCCAAAACCTCAGGCGACAAAAGCCAGCAGAATAAATCTAGTACTGTTCCATGCATGCCCACCATACATGAAGATTTCCAATCAGAATCAGAGATGGATTTGCTTGTTTCGAAGGTAGGCTGTCTGTGCTCCCGCGGTCAAGGATGCTCCCATGCATCTCTCACATCTTAACTTTTGGAGAACACATAGTTACTTCTTTAGTAAAAATGAGGATCAGAGTCATAAAATTGACAGTTTTGTCTCTTCATTTTGTTTCATGACCACAGTGCTCTCTATCTTTTTTTTTTTTAATGTTAGGGAAGTGTCTACAGTGTTCAGGGTCCCACTACTAGATTAGACTCATAATGATCTGCCTGTTTATAGCCTCCCAAGAGATGGGATTACAGGTGCCCTTGCGCCACCATGCCCAGTCTTAATTACTTTCTCAGTGAGCCCAAAGGACAGGGTGGGCACAGCAGGCCTGGGGATTGAACCCCTGGCCCCAGTGACTGCTTGCAGGTGCTTTAATCTGCTGAGCTATTTGGCTGGTCCTAATACTCTTTCTTTCTTTCTTTCTTTCTTTCTTTCTTTCTTTCTTTCTTTCTTTCTTTCTTTGTTACTTTCTTTCTTTCCTTCTTTCTTTTATTCTTTCTTTTTCTCTCTTTTCTTTCTTTAAATTTTTAAATTTTTATTTTTTTGTATTTAGTATAGGATCTACAGGGTCTCACCATGTATATCAGACACATAGTGATCCTTCTGTTTTGTGCCTCTCAAGCACTGGGATTATCTTTACCTTGTATAGTATAATTTCCTCTAGTAGATATATAAAACTATTTTTCCTTTTTAGTTATGTAGTAAAATAGCAATCAGCTTGGGAAAATGGTTCAGTAGAGCCTTTATTAATAGCCATTTTAATTTTCTCATATATATATATATATATATATATATATATATATATATCTCCAAAGAATATCATTTTCTTCCATATTGTACAAAAATACATGTATTTTAAAATAATCCAGGCTCTTTAAATACACTTATAATACCTGGAACTATTATTCAAAATATCAAGAGAGTCTAAAATTCTTATTTTTTTTTTTGAACCGGCGATTGAACTCAGGCCCTTGCACTTGCCAGGGAAGTGCTTATTCCACTGAGCCATCTCCCCGGCTCCAAGAGAGTCTAAAATTAACCACATGTGAAAAGTACATGATCATTATGTACATTATAAAGGTAACTCTGTATTATTTTACTTAGGTCATTTTTAGTATAACCTATACCTTCAAGAAACATAATAAGAATGTATGTACCTCATATACTCTTTTATCATACACAGAGTTATACTTTCTTCCCTAAGTATTGAGTAACTTGTTTCAGTATACTGATCTCATTCTGTTGCTGCTTTAATCATATAGAGAAATATCTTTTCCTGTTGTTAAAATGTATTTGACTACATGAATCAGAAGTCAGTGTGAAGGACCCTCACTCACAGGACATGGTATACATAATTTTTCAGATTGCAGCCACAGTGCTGGTCTGTGGAGGCAACTTCAATTTTTCCAATCACCGGTTCCCAGGACTCTGATGGCTGCCTCTAAATTCCCTCTCCAGATCATGAGCCAACTGCACATCTCAATAATGTGCTCCTTAAAACTGGGAAAATAGTGCAGATCCCTGCAAACTCAGGTGTTCAAAGCAAAGTTATTTCATGCTGACTTCCATTTCTGTGATTCTCAATACCTCTTATTATTCAAACTGAAGAGCTTCTAGCCTGGACATGTTCAGATAAGGAAATTTTGAGGTTCTTCTAGTGTCTACATTACTATTCCTTACATAAGCAGCACTGACTTGTTGGAAAGTACTTTATAAGTACTAATATAAGCTGATATTACCATTTAACATTTTTTTTTCATTTCTTCTGCTGGCTGAGTTATATCATTTCAGAAACTGTTTTCTGTGAGTCCCGTAACTAAGATGTGTTTTGGGCATCTACACTGAGTGTGAGATGGCTCTCCCTAGGTGGTCATGGCACACTTCCATAATTCTGCTTGTGTTTTCTTATGTACTATCCAAGTAGAAGCCAAGATGGCAGTGCTCACCCAGCGAACCTTCTGATGAATTTGGTTTGCAGCCGGGTCCCAAACAAGTGATGGTGCTGAAAGTGACGGAAGCAATTACGTATATGATTGGAGAAGAGAAGAAAATGATGTTTCACGCCACAGTGGCCACTGAGCAAAGATGCATTCAAGTGAAAGTTTTTGACATCACATTTAAGGATAAATTCACCCCAAGCAATGTCATCAGCATATCAAATTATGTTGATAGAGATGGATTTCTGGAGATATATAAACATTCAACAGTGTCTAATGTGTGTGCTGATGGAAGGATAAACATCTCTCCTGCTCTGATTAAGCATGCCAAAGCAACTCCTAAAATCAGCCAGATTTGCTCAAAAAGAGAAGGAAAATATGTGAATGGAGTATATAGGGTATGTAAGGTAAGTAAGAAGCATGAATCTTTAAAATTTCTCCTGCACCCCAAATTTTAATATGGCAACCTTCCAACTGCATTTTAGCCAATTACTGAACACAGGTAACAAGCTTCCTTACCTGGGAGAGGTGAGTGGCATCTTCTCACTTCAGAGTGTGGGACTGTCAGGTTTTTAACATTCCTCTTCTCTAAGTATTACAATACAAATTTAAGGATGAAATTTATCAAGAAACCTCAGTATTTCAATAATTATATTGATAAATTCATAGCCATCCTATTAGAAGACAATGTATAGCTTATTCTGCACTGGTGACAACTAAATTGGGAATAAGAAGTTGCCTTCTAAAACTTGGGTTTGGAAGCAATGCCTAGAATAAGAAACCAAATTATTACTCTGTCCTAGAAAACAACTATGTACAATGGACATCCTGGATTCCAATCCATTGTACTCTTAAGTTGCTCTCATAGCTTCCCATTTATGACTTTTCAACAAGAAATTGTTGAGCAACTGATTTTGGCACTAAATAATAAGAGAAATATAAAAGTGAAAAAAACTAGAGCAGTGGTGGCAAACCTATAAAAAAAAAGTATTCCACGTGGACACTCAGAGCCCTCTCTGTCAGCACCTGAGCCAAGTTACCGCAGTATCAACCTGACCTACAAGCATGTTGGGCATTCTGTAAATTTCAGCATCACTGCACTAGCAACATGTACTTCATCTTTCAGTTTGTAAATAGTGACCATAATTTGGAAAGAACTTTGAAGAACTGTTAGATTTAGGGTGCCTATTTTAGTCCCAGTACTCCCTGTAAGTGATAGATAGATAGATAGATAGATAGATAGATAGATAGATAGAGATAGAAAGATAGATAGATAGATAGATAGATAGATAGATAGATAGATAGATAGATATTCAAATATTAATTCACTCAAAATTATATTGCCTTTGTTGGTGGTTTTTTGCTTTCACCTATATTATTTATCATTCATTCTGTAAATGACTCTATGTACATACTACATTAGGAAGGAAATGAGATACAGGCCCCTAGAAGAGGACAAGTGTTCTAGATTAAATATTTGAACTGATTCAAACAGAGTGAGTAAATGGAAAACTAGAAGAAATTACAATGTAGAGAATATAATCTACTTTATCAAAATTCTTTGTAATATTTTTCAGTCCCCACTGAGACACAAATGGTCTTCATTCTTTGCTCACCAGGGGATACTAGATAATAAACCAATCATACTTGCCTGATTTCTCTCTTGATTCCCAGAAAAATATCAGGTATGTTGATGTGGAAACAGTAGAGATTAGATAGATAATTATTCTAGGAAAGTTGAGAGATAAAGATTTTAGGTAAGGAGAGTCTCAGGAAGGTTTCAAAATGGAGGATTTCCTCCCCAAAACCTCTTAGCAAATTTGATATCTTTAATCTTGAACTTAAATTTTTGTTTACCTTTTTGGAAACCAGTATTTCCACTAACACAGTTCAACTCTCATAGCAGTGAACATGTCTGACACATTTCTCAGAAGATATGTGCAAATATTCTTTTGCAGAAAACAAAAAGGGAAGAATTCATTTATTATGAAATACAAGATAATACAGGAAAGATGGAAGTAGTGATACACGGACGACTGGCAAGTATCAATTGTGAAGAAGGTGATAAACTTAACCTCACTTGCTTTGAAGTGGCTTCTAGTGGGGATAGCTGCCAGCTGAGATCCGTCCTTCACAGTCACCTCAGAGTAAGTATTTCATGGGACCAGAATTCTTCCAATGGGAAACACATATTTTTAATGGGTTTTAGAAGTCTAGACTGTTGCTCTTACATTAGCTCGACCTGGTGATGAAAGTTAGTTATGGCCACTCTTGTAAGTAAACTAACTTTCCTTTCATATTCTTTTAAATAAGGGTCTTTAAATCACAATGCAGAAAAATTTACAGATAATGTAAGAACTTTATCCACATCTAAAGAATAATCAATTATCAAAGCAGAACATCAATTTAATAAGAATTATAGTTTAATTTACAAAGTTTTATTTATGTTCTGCCTCTATTTTTTCCTATTGTGTTAAAGGTTTAAACACCAGAGATGTCAGGATTATTGCCTGTAAAGTAAAGGAAAATTTTACACCACAGAATTTAATCAGTAAAACTCACAGAAAACCTGAATTAGGAAGGATGCTCTAAGAAAATCAGAATACATGGGTGCCTACATGAAGAAAACTACTACATGAGAAACATACAGTCAATGTCATACAGATACAAATATACATTGGATTCATTGAAAACTAAAAGCTACTAAGGTTAGATGGCAAATCAAACAGAGATCAAATTTAACTGCTCACCTATTGAGGTACACAAATACACCTGCTCCTGGATTCTCCAGTTCTGGTTTCACCCCAGTACAGTCCTCCAGACTTTCCCTCGCAGCAGACACAGCAGGAAGTGCTTTTGCTCCTCCATCCACTCTCCTGCCCAAGGAGAATCCTCCACAGAGCTCTTGTCATTTTGGCTCCACCAGCCCCTCGTTTCCTCTCCTCTATCCTGCTCCTCCTCCTGTGCTCCTGCTGGCTAGGAGTAATTAGCAAAGCTCCGGGTCCCAAGCAAGGACAGGGGGTGACTTCAAGTACAGGTATTCAGCAAAGAATGCTTGGGGAGAAAGGCAAGAAAGGATGTGGCCCATGGTTGTGAAAGGTAAGTAAATTTCAGCATTGTTTTGTAAAATTTGTTATCCCAACAACCCCATATGTTGGGATATGGGAAATTTATGTGGTCAGCTGTACCCCAACTGATCGGTCTTTATCATTTCTTTATTTAAGGTCATCAAAGCCCGGATAAACAAGACATAACTGCATAATTCTTATTCAAATATATAACCATTGCTGGAGTCCTAAATACATGGATATCGCTAATAAGGATGTTGATGGAGATAAGATATAATTTTAAGATGAAAACATACAAGCTACAAGTTTAGGAAGAATATGTATATAATCTAGCTCTGAAATTCTCATTGGAGTACATGCCTAAAGTCTCAGAATTTTGAGGTTAAACAGGATTGAAATTTCAAGCATACCCAGGGCAATTGAGAGCATTGGGAGAACTCTGTCTCCAAAAACTACTTTTTAGGCTGGACAGGTAGCTCAGCAGACTAAAGCGCCTGCTTAAGCAGAGAACGGGGAATAGGGTTTGATCCCTGGCACCACAGGTCATGACAGCCAAGCCCTGGGATGCACTGAGCTGGCAATTGAGACTGGACATGGTGGTGTGCACCTGTAATCCCAGCACTTGGGAGGCTGAAAACAGAAGGATCACTAGGAGTCTGATCTGTGTAGTGAGACCCTGTGCTAAATAAATAAATAAATAAATAAATAATGTTTAACGGAAAGAATTTTTTTAGTGGGATTTAAAAATTGGGATGAGGAGTAGGGCAAAAAAAGATATATTTAGCTATATATACTGGATAGGTTGGATAATTGTATTGTCAATTTCTGCTGGTCTTTTGAAAGAAGTTAATGACTTTTTTTTCTATTCTTTTTTAATTTCCTACAAAGGTTTTTTTACTGTTTTTGCTTTGCTTTTTCTTTAAATCATTTTTGAATGTCTCTGGCTGGTAACCTACACAATTAATTTGAAGATAACATGCAGTACAGCAACCATTGTTCAATTTCTATTACCTTGTTTAATGAAACTTTGTGTCATTTTTAATGTTGATTTCAATGATAATTTTGTATTCTTCAAAAATAAAAAAGAAGAAAACTTTCTACATTATTCTTTGTGTATTTTTTGTATTTCATGAATTCCACATAAAATATCTATAACTTTGGTAATTTGATGAAATAAACATCTAATTCTAAAGCTGTGCTTCTCAATGAGCTTCTTTATTATATGCTTCATTGGATTTTTTTTCAAAACTTAATTGATAAACAGATAGCAATGAGACAGTTTCAAATCAAATTGGAAGTACAGTTTCAACAAATAACACACTGCATATATTCTTCTTAGTGGTTAATTGCTGTACAAGATGTGGACTTGAGATCCTATTTACAAACACCATTAGAACAAATCATTCTATTCATTAAGAGAATGCAACTATATATCTATCCTAACCACTTTGAATACACAGATACAATATGGACATTCATCTGTATACCCTATTTTTTCTAAGTTCCGTTATTGAATATTATAGGTGTGTAAACTCAGCAAAATGTTCTAAAAGGGTCCAGCAGACCATAATAGCATTGGGTCCTCTGTTTAACTGGCAATGTCAGAAATTATTGACCCGAGTCCTCCACAGCTCAACATAACAGCATGGCTTTACTCCTATATTTCGTCTTCATACTTTTCAACTGGATGGTTAAGACCAAGGTAAAGCAGGACCTGTGCAACAAGAGTTGTAACTTTTTGGTCTGAGAAGGTCAGTGAAATCCCCTCAGGATTTATCCTGAGATCCCATACCTCAGATTGTAGAACCTTTGTCAGTGTCAGCCAGGCGGATGAGCCACAGCCATTGCTTGGCCAATATGCTCTCTGTGAAAGCCTGAGAGAGTGTTTTCTCCCCTTGTGACTCTCATTAGGCACACTCTACGTCATCGATCACTTTCCTCTTTGGCCCCATAATCTTCTTGATCAGAAAATTTGGGACACTACCGAGGTACATGACGTTACAGTACAAGTTCTCATATGTCCTGAGTCTTAATTGACCTTAGAGGTTAGGGCCAAAATGTTGGCTTTCCTTGTAGCCCTCCTTTTTCTCTAATTTTGATCTGCAAACTTAGGTTGTTAACCATCCAGAAGACGAGTGCCTTTTGATAATTTGTAGGGAAGTACTTGTGTGTTAAGGGAATTTGTGGCCTGTCTTTTGTCAAATATGTGATTCCATTCATTTACTCAAATACCAGTGGCTCCTGGGTATCTCTCCAAATGCTAATATAGTTTACACATTCCGCATGTTTAGATCCCTCATGAATCTGTGCCAGCAAATCTACTTTATGACAAGCCTGAAGTTAATTTTCAATGAGATAGTCAAATATATAGCAGCAAAATGTATCTTATATTTGCTCATCATATATTTGTTTTCTGTTATTTTGCAATTTCAGGAAGAAAATATAATCTATCACTGTCACTCAATGTTCACATTCTTTTCAAAAATTGATAGTCTTTTTTTCTTTTTACTCAATAATAGGGAAGAAAAAGCAACAAAAATTTAAAATCAGATTATTAATTATATTTATATTGTAAATTAAAGCTTGATTTAGAATATATAATGTTCCCATTTGAGGTATATGTTTTAGAGGAAAGGGTGTGAAGTTGTCAAAATTTTGAAAAACAGAATAAAAAAGTTGTCAGCTCATTGAAGAGGCATGAGGGAGATTTTCGTGGGTGAGAGGTCCTTATTTAAAAAAAAATAAAATGTGTGTAAGCTATCAGCCACAACAGCAGGCAGTAGGCAGCAGAGCAGCACTCAGGAGAACAAGAGCACATGAGTGCAAGAGCCACTTTCATCTCTATTTTTTAACTATTATACGGGTCATTACCACACTTTTACCTTCTTACATAGTGCTACAGCCAGTGTGTGCATGATTACCTGTGTTATGTCATGGTTGCCTACCTGCATCCCACCTGCACTAGACGGGCTTGTCACAACCTTAGGTGTCCTTAGCTTTAAAGTATTTTGAAAGAATACTCACAGGTGGTCAATGCTGTAAATAACCAAGGGTATTAATGCTCAGCTTAACTAAGAAGAAAAACAGTAACATGTTATCATTATGTTCTGGTGCCAAAGGTGCAAAGGATAATAATGTATCACTTGTTTCTAATTTTATGTCTTTTATTATATTACTCTTAAAAGATGACAAGTATAAATAGATATTTCTCTATCTTCTTGTAATATACCACTCTAATAAACATATACACACGGACTTGTTTTTTATATGTATTTATATTTGCATGGTTATATGCATAGTTAACTACATATAAATATGTTACTTAATGCATAATCATATTTTACAATAATATTTCTAATTAAAGATTATTTTTGTTACTTGGGAAATCATATTCTGAATAAAATAAACATAACTAGCATTTCTTTACTTAAGTTTTGTATAGTACTTTGCTTTTTATTTTTCCTCATTTAGATAAAGTTTCCTTAATAACATAGAGGTAGATATCTAAAAATCAGATGTGATGATTTGTTCTATACTTGTCTAGACTCTTAATGCATATACTTTACTTATGTACTTTCACATATTTTTGCTGTCTGTCCTTGAAGTCATGACACTTCTCTTCTCTTCCATTTCACCATTTTTGAAATTTACATTTACATTTAGGCTTAGAGACCAAAACATTGGTGAGGTATTGTATTCTTTTACTTTCTGCTCTTCACTATATTGACATTTCCTATTGTCTCTCACCAGACTCTGTTTTTGAAACATAAGCACTCCTAGTGGAGTTTGTTTTTATTCAAATTTCTTTTGCCCTGCATGATAGTTGATTTGCTTGTATGTTGTTTATGTTAAATACTACTCCAATCAATTTTTCTTTCCAAATTACTCAAGGTTTTAGTATCATAGAATATATTTTTATGGTTATCTACTTAAGTATTATTTTCATGTAGTTCTATAATATTGTTCCACAATTTTGTTTTCACACAAGACAGCTTGAAAGCACATCATCCACATGTATAAAACTCGATTTATTTAGAAATTAGAAATTGGGATGTTGCCAAAAGCTACTTAATAAATATATTGTAATTATTTTACTAGGAGAAATTCTTGATATTTGCATCTTGATGCCACAATCAACATCAATACTTTGCTTTGGTCAGGATTTACAAGGGATAAGATTT